TCAGGGGTCCCAGGCAGGGTGTTCTCAATATGGCCAGTGCATGGCCCGCTCCAAGCCCAGCCTCCTCTACCGGCTTGCCCCCAGCACCCTGGGACAGGCTCCTCCACACTCCACAAGCCCCACACTGGCCGTCTGCCACAGAGGGCAGGGGGTGGGCAGGGGGTGAGCAGGCGTGCTGAGGAAACCCTGGCCCCGGCTCCAGAAGCAGGGTTCATCCCCGAGGCGGGAGGGGCGGGCGGGGCGGCAGCTGCCAGCCCTCGTGGGCAGACCCAGTCTTTGATCGGGGCGGCCCTCGTGCCAGCTGCCAGGAGGCCGGGTTGTCGGGGGGGGGGGGGTGTCTGCTGAGACTGGCGTCCCAGCGCTGCACAGGGCTGCAGGGCGGCCTCCCGGCCAGCGGAGTAACTTCAAAGACACAGCCAGGGGGCGCCGGGCAGCCCCAGCCTCTCCCAGAGCCCGGTTCTGATCGCCAGTAAAACTACCTTCTAATAATTAATGCCTGACATCAAAGGCAGGAACCGCCCGGGTCTGTGAACCACCCCGGGCCTCGGCCGAGGACCTGCCTGTATTTTATCCTGTCTCTTTCTTCTGACTCTTTATTTAAATCCAAAAACCACACACAGGCAAAACATTAATGGGAAACTTGGAAACTTTCTTTGCTTACTAAAGTGTACCTTTGAAGTTCCCCCAAAAGGTTCTGTTTTGTTCCCTCCTCCCCTCCCCCAGCACTGAGAGACCCAGCAGCAAGCGGCATGTGGCCTCCCGCCCTCTGCATGTGCGGCTGGCAGCGATGGGAGGCGCTGGGCGGGCAGGACGCCCTCCATCCATCAGCAGCCCGAGCCCCAGGTCAAAGGCCCTGAGGACACCCTGCAGGTGAGGCACAGTGCCCTCCCCGGATCCCTCCTGCCCACCAGCACCTTCCCAGGGGCGGGAACAGGTGGGCGCTGCTCTGAGCCCCACGTTCCGCAAACAGGCTCTGCCCTGGGCACAGAGGGAAGACGGGGCTGAAGCCCATGCCTCTAGAATGGAGGAATGTGACCACCACTGTTTCCCTCACACCCAGGGGTCCCCACAAGGGTAGGCCCAGGGGGCGTCACCCCTGCTCACCCAGAGCACATGGACCTGTCTCCAGCCTCCGACTCCGCGCTGAGGGGCCAGAGTGCTTCGTGGGGGCTCAGATGTCACAGTGCAGAGTTCCCAGAGGGAGGATGGGGTGCCACCACCATCACAGTGCCAGAATGGACCCAATGCCCTCACTCCCCACTCCTTTGTCCACTCAAAAGGGAGGACAGTCCCAGGATGGCCCGGGGTACAAAAAGCAGAGGGGCTGGACCCTGATGCCAGGCTGGATGGGAGCCCTCCCGCCCCACACAGTGCAGACGGCTGGCCTCTGCCCTCCCAGGTGTGGCTGGAGGCAAGAGGGAGGGGTGAGGGTGTTTCACTCAGAGGAGGACAAAGCGAACTCCCGACCTCACCTGAGGTCAGGGACACGGAGCATGAATGCCCAGGGCACAGCCAAGGCTGGGGCTGTGTACACAGAGCACTCCTGGCCACATCTAGTTATGTTTTTTTTTTTTTTTGAGATGGAGTTTTACTCTGTCGCCCGGCTGGAGTGCATTGGTGCAATCTTGGCTCACTGCAATCTCTGCCTCCTGGGTTCAACTGATTCTCCTGCCTCAGCCTCCCAAGTAGCTGGGACTACAGGTGCCCACCATCATGCCCAGCTAACTTTTGTATTTTTAGTGGAGACAGGATTTTACCATGCTGATCTCAAACTCCTGACCTCAGGTGATCTGCCCACCTCGGCCTCCCAAAGTGCTGGGATTGCAGGTGTGAGCCACCACATCTGGCCCAGACACAAACATTCTAAATGTCCGCAGGAGATGGGGGCATGGGGGCCTTTCAGGCTGACTACGTCAGCAGGAGCTCAGGCGGCTCTGGTCCAGCCCTAAAAAAATACAAAAATTAGCCAGGCATGGTGGTGGATACCTGTAATCCCAGCTACTTGGGAGGCTGAGGCAGAAGAATCGCTTGAACCTGGGAGGTGGAGATGGCAATGAGCCAAGATCATGTCACTGTTCTCCAGCCTGGGCGACAGAGTGAGACTTCATCTCAAAAAACAAAAACGGGCCAAGTACAGTGGCTCACACCTGTAATCCCAGCACTTTGGGAGGCTGATGCCAGCTGGCAGCCGGCAGTCTGGCCCTCGGGGGACATAGGGGCTGGGAAACAGGTGAGGAAGCTAAGGAAGTCGGGCTCAAGCAGCCCAGGTGCAGGGGTCCCATGCGGGGCCAGGATGGGGATGGAGGGAAAGTCATTCCAGGCGCAGGAGGGTCCCATGCGGGACCAGGACGGGAATGGGGAGGGAAAGTCATTCCAGGCGCAGGGCTCCAATGCTGGTCCGGACGAGGATGGAGGGAAAGTCAGCCCAGGTGAAGAGGTCCCCATGCCAGTCAGTGTGGGGATGGAGGGAAAGTCAGCCCAGGCGCAGGGCTCTGATGAGGGTCAGAATGGGAATGGAGGGAAAGTCTGCCCAGGTGCAGGGCTCTGATATGGGGCCAGGATGGAGACAGAGGGAAAGTCAGTCCAGGTACAAGGCTCCCATGCGGGCCAGGACGGGGGTGGAGAGAAAGTCAGCCCAGGCGCAGGGCTCTGATACAGGGTCAGGACGGGGACAGAGGGAAAGTCAGCCCAAGTGCAGGACCCCCACGCAGGTCAGGGCTGGGACAGAGGGAAAGTCAGTCATAGGGCCAGGAAGCCCACAGACCTGTGGTCACCCCGAGGCATGAGGCACAGGGTCAAGCCACAACCCCACACAGCCATGCTAACAGGTCAGCACCTCATCTCCTGCTCACACTCGCTCCCCGCCAAGGGCCCAGCGCCCCAGTGGTGGGTGGAGTCTGCAGGGAGCAGTGGCCATACCTTCGGAGAACTTCCAGAACCCAAAAAAGAGCAGCCACTGCCTAGCTCCCTTGTGAGCAAGGTGAAATCTGATTCCCAAGCGGGATGAAGACAGAGCAGGGAAAGAAGTCAGCCTCACTTATGAACACAGACACACAAGCCAATAAATAAAGCATATGAGCATCTCCATTGATGCCAGAAACATGGAAATAGTTCAACATCTGCTCAGATTATTTTAAATGTCAGAAAATTAGGAACAGTAACTTTCTCAGCTTGATAAAGGCTTTTATCACACATCATCCTTCGCAGAGAAACAATTAGTAATCCATCTTAAGATCAAGAAAATAAAGGATGCCTGGTGCTCTGGCTCTTGCCAATAATCCCAGCACTTTGGGAGGCTCAGGCAAAAGATCATGATGTCAGGAGATCGAGACCATCCTGGCCAACATGGTGAAACCCCGTCTCTACTAAAGATACAAAAAATTAGCTGGGCATGGTGGCTCGTGCCTATAATCGCAGCTACTCAGGAGGCTGAGGCAGGAGAATTGTCTGAACCCAGGAGGCGGAGGTTGCAGTGAGCCGAGATGGTGCCATTGCACTCCAGCCTGGGTAACAAGAGGAAAACTCCTTCTCAAAAAACAAAAACAAACAAACAAAAAATACAAAAAGTAGCGGGTCGTGGTGTGGGTGCCTGTAATCCCAGCTACTCAGGAGGCTGAGGCAGGAGAATCACTTGAACCTGGGAGGCAGAGGTCACAGTGAGCTGAGATCTTGCCCCTGCTCTCCAGCCTGGGCGACAGTACAAGACTGTATCTCAAAAAAAAAAAAAAAAGAAAGACACACGAGAAAGGATGCCCACTAAACTGCCAATATCCAGCAAGCACCAGGGGCCCGGTCACTGCAACACAGGGAGAAAAACACTGGGAGGAGAAAGGAAAAGGGATTTGCAGAGACCCTGACAGAAACCCAGACACCGCTATAACTAACAAGGAGCCAGCCAGTCAAAAATGTAACAGGCAGCATGATACTATCCACAGTATCACAAAAGGTAACTTTCAGGCCCGGTGCAGTGGCTCACGATTGTCATCCCAGCATTGTAGGAGCCTGAGGCAAGAGGATTGCTGGAGCCCAGGAGTTCGAGACCAGCCTAGGCAACAGAGAGAAACCTCGTTTTTACGAAAAATAAAAATAAATTAGGCCAGGTGCAGTGGCTCACATCTGTAATCCCAGCACTTTGGGAGGCCAAGGTGGGTGGATCACGTGAAGGCAGGAGTTCGAGACTAGCCTGACCAACATAGTGAAACCCTATCTCTGCTAAAAATACAAAAATTAGCCAGGTGTAGTGGCGCGCACCTGCAATCCCAGATACTCAGGAGGCTGAGGCAGGAGAATCACTTGAACCCTGCAGGTGGAGGTTGCAGTGAGCCAAGATTGCTCCATTGCACTCTAGCCTAGGTAACAAGAGTGAAACTCCATCTCAAAAATAACAGAGTGGATGCCTTGGTAAAGGTGGCTGTAAATCAGAAAAATAAAAATAATAAAAAAAAATAACTTCCCTGAGAAGCAGCCTAGCAATCCTGTTCAGGTAGAAGGTGGGACTTGATCCCGGACCAGACTGAAGACTGGCTAATGGTCCAACAGCACCACCACCGCTTACCCTTTCCCTGGCCACAACGTGGAAGTTAGTTACCACTTCTAGAGATTACTGAATACCTCACCCCTTAATATGCACGTAGACAAGAATAGATGTAAACGTGACCACACCCCTGCCCTGAGCTGCTGCCCTCCATGCACTGCCCTGGGCGGCCCTCCTCTGTGCCACACCGCGGAGCTGACACATTGCGGCCGCCGCCTCATCATAGAGCCAACACAGCCTCATCCCGGAGCAGACCCAGCCATGGCTCAGTAAAGCTACTCCACCACCCACTTACCCCTGATTTCCTTCCTAGGGGAACCAGAACCATCCTGGCAGGAGTCCCAGTTTTGGGTTCCTTTGCCCTGCATCACTGACATGCCACCAGGCTGACCAGCCAAAGCCACATGGTGCCACCTCGTCAGGAGAAAGGATGCCCCCAAGTCCCAAGACCCAGGGCCCCTTTTACCGGCTCTGGCTCTGGCTCCTGCTGGGGATCCTGGCCAGGCTTGGACTTCTTTGGCTTGGAGGGGCCTCCGGGGCTGGAGAGGGATGTTGGCAACTTGGCTGATGATGAAATCAGAGGCCTCATGGGCCCAGAGGGGCCCCCCAGTCGCTGTCCCCCGCCTGAGAAAGGAACGAAGGGGGCAGGCATGGGCGCCCTCATGCTCTGCTTCTTCTGCAAATCCTCGCAGCTGGACCCCATGGTGTCCACGTCCTCCTGACGGCTCAGGTCACCACGGCAGAGCTCCCCAGATTCCAAGGGGAGTGGAGGGCTGGCAGCTGCCTGGCCAGCCGACGCTGATGAGCCCAGGCTTGCTGGGGTCTTGCCCACAGGGTCACAGCGCTTCATGACAAACCTGAGTGGGGCCAGAGGACCAGGGAAGTGCCTCATGGCGGTCCTGCCGGCCCCCAGCTCACCCTCTCCTGCCCTACGTGCCCTCCCGAGATCCACCGACACTCTGGGGGAAACAAAGTGAGACTGGACAGCCCAGCCCCCTCAGCAGCGCAGGGCAGAGGTCACCAGGTGCCAGCCCCCAGGCTCACAAGCAGACACAGGACACCAGGCACCCATCCATGGCGAGGGCCCTGAGCACACACATTCTCCCCGACTTTCCAAGTTTCCTTTCTCCTTTCCTTTGAGATCCCTTTTCTTAGCTAAATAGACTCCTGGCCCCAGCGGCACTGCTCTTACCTGATGGAGGCACTGCCCCCCGTGAGGCCCAGCGACTGCAGTGTGGTGTCCCTCAGGGCAGCTTCACCCATCACCTGCGGGAGGAGCAACAGGACAGGTGGGCCTTGTACAGGGACCCCAGAGCCCAGGGAAACCCTTCAGGCTGTGGCTCCATGCACCGGCATCACCAGAACCACAGGCCTCATGGCCCCTCCAGCTTCCATCCTACCCACCCCCCATGTCTGGTCCCTGCTGGTCCACACCTTCCGAGAGGAGCAGCTCGAGTCTGGCCTGTAGCCAGGACAGGACTTGCTGCCCACGCCTGGACTGTGTCTCCCTGAGCCTGGTCTCCCCAGCTGGGACCCAAGCTCACTGAGGCCTGCGCTGGCAGAGCTGGGCTGCAAGGAGGATGCCCGGCAGCCAGGACCCACTGCCCAGAGCCCAGGTCCAGGGTGGGAGAGGCAAGAGTGTGCCATCATCCACAGTGGTGGGGAGGAGGCCTGGGCAAGAGAATCTATGTCTGTGAGACTGAGCCGGCCAGGCTCCTGGGCTGGGGTCATCCCAGCTCCATGACACCTGCCAGACCTCCACAGCCCCAGTCACTGCCGGGAGCCCCCAACATCTGGTGGGCAGAGGGCAGGCCAGCAGCACCCACCCTTCAAAAGCCTTTGAGCTGGGTGGGCCCCAAAATCACAACACCCGGCTTCACAGGCTCTGGTGCCTGGCCAGGGCAACACCTGCCTCACTGCCACCTCTCCCAGAGGTCACAGCGGCTCAGCTGCCTCGGGACCCTGCCCCAACCTCCTCCAAGTCTCTGCTCTCAGGGCATTCCCAGTGCTGGACTCGGGGTGGGCCAGGTCCCACACGCTAGCTCCAACGCTGTGAGGAAGGGGTGGAGAAGCTTCCTCTAGTAAGGATACAGTGAAGGGCCCTGGACAGAAGCCAAAGGGTGCAAGGGTCCCCCGGGGGGGGCTGGAGCCTCAGGCCGGTGCTGGGCTGGGGTGCCTGAGCCCCGTGGCTCATCTCCTCTGAGGGAGGACATAGCCCTCCCCTTACAGCTCTGACCAGGGAGCTTCCAACTGGGGATAAATGAGGGGAGTGTCCTGTCCACGCCAAGGCCCCCCAGGGCCCCTCTGGGACAGTGCCCCACCAACCCCAGCAAAGGGCACTCAGCCAGAGTGGAAACAAAAGGCCCCTGTAAGCCGGGGGCGAGCTCAAGGAGGGTCCCGCCATGGCAGGCCTTGCTTGTGCCACGCCACGCTCGGTTTTGAAAATGATCAAAACACCGAGCAAAGCAAATATTTATTAAATGAAACCACTTTTGTGACTTTTGGGCTTTGAGAGAAGCTGAGAAAACAAACAGGGCTGCGAGGGAGGTTTCAGGGCAGCAGGGGCTCCCAGGCTGGCCACTCCCTCTTTTTCCATGAAAGACGACGATGAGCTTTCAAGAGCCCTAGTCTCCCGCCACTGTACTGGAGACAGAGGTGGGAGAGTGGGTTTTCCAGTTGGGAAGTGGGCTCAGCCTGAGCGGGGACTGGGTGGGCAAGAGCAGGTGGCCTACCTCATCCCTTGTGTACACGCACACTGGGGTCGCCCCACCAGGCTGCTGCAGGCAGTCCCTGGGAGGAGAGGAAAAAAACCATCAGGTACCCGCAGGGCACCCTAGGGTGCCTCAGTCACTCCCACGGAGGCCTCATGGCAGGAGGTTCAGGAGGCAAAGGTGTGAGGCCTTCACCTAGCTCCCAACCAGGACAGCGTCCCAGGCCCAAGACACAGCCCTCAGCCCAGGCCCCCACTGCACCCACAACCACCAGGAGGAGGTAGCTTTGACAGTTGGGGAACTCCCAAGGAGCCTGGCCTGTGCTGCAAGGCCTGGGGGCTCCCCCAACCTCAGTCTCAGGGCCACTGGCAGGACGTGGAGCCCCCAGGCAGGGCCCAGAGGCCGCATGGGAGGGGTGAGCCACACTGGCTCAGGAACTCGGCTCATGGCCACTTGTACTTTAGACGCCTGAGGGTGGGGTCCCAAGGTCTGGGCTTTCATCTAAAGCCACTCTCTAAGACGAGGTGCCCCCATCTCCATCGCCTGCTGTCTCCCTTCAATGCCAACACCTGAGTCACCAAAGCGCGGAGGGTAGGATACTGCACTCCGCTCACACCCGCTTGCCCACGGCCTGGGAGGCCGCAATTGTGAGTCCCTGCCGGCCTCTGCCAGGCAGGCACAGGTGGACCAGTCCGGGGGCAAGCATGCATACACAGCATACCTAACCACACCACACGCCTGATGTACACACTAGCCCGGGTCACAGAAGCACACATCCCCACGTCTCAGCCCCAGAGCATGTGAACTGCAGGTAGCACCTTTGCATGAGAGAGTTCATCTCCACATTCCCAACTCACCATGAGAAATCCTCCCCATTGAGAAAAACAAAAGCCCATCTCAGGCCTCACTTGGAGATTCCCCCATCAGTCCCTCTCCAAGGAGGGGAATCTGAGAGGAGGGGCAGATGGCCAGAGCCCAGGCCAAGGGGAGGCCAGGGCCAGCCTCACATCATGCAGGTGCCCTGCCAGGCCTTATGGCCAGCGTGGCTTGTAGGGGCTCAGTTGGGACAGGAAAACACAGGAGCTGAGCTGATGACCTGAACACAAAGCATGAAGATTAGATAAGAGCTGGGCTGGACAGAGCTTGCAGCAACACCCCAGGATGGGGCAGGCTGGCGGGGGGAGGTCAGAGAACAGAGTGCCTGCAGTGTCCAGGTCAAAGCAGGCATGCACATCCAGGCACATCTGCGCGTATACGCCCACAGTCGCGCATATTGCTCGCATCCGCGCAATCCACTCGCATCCACACACATCACTCGCATCCGCGCACATCCGCCAGTAGCTGCGCACAACCAAGCACGTCCACCGCCACATGAATGCACACACATGACCCGCATCCACGCACATCCGCCCGCAGCTGCTCACACCCGCGCCCATCCGCCGGCACTCACGCAAATCAGCACACATACGCCTGCACTGGTGCACATCCGCCCGCATCCGCACACATCCAGGCACGTCTGCGCACGCGCACATCCTTCCGAATCAGCGTACATCCGCGCACGCGCACATCCTCCCGCATTAGCGCATATCCAGGCACATCCGCCTATTTCCGCCTGCATCAGCGTACATCCAGGCACATCCGCCCACATCCACGACATCCACCCGCATCCGCGCATTCGCCCGCATCTGCACACAGCAGCGTACATCCAGGCACATCCGCCAGCATCAGCGCACATCCAGGCACATCTGCAGACACCTGCCGGCATCCGCGCACATCGCCCGCATCCACCGACATACTGCCGCAACTCCCCCTCTCCCCTTGCCGCATCCGCGCTCATGTGCGCACATCCGCCCACATCCACTCCCCACAGGCGCACATCCGTCTTCATCCGCCCACATCCGTGCGCGTCGCCGCACACATCCAAGCAGAGAAGGCTCCGGGGGCAGGAGCTCTCAGCCTCCACCTGAACCCACCTGTGGGTGTCCAAGCCGCAGGGGCCGGCCGTGCACTCACCAGGGCTCCCAACACTGGGATCTGCGGACCCGCTTGAAGAAGCAGGACTCGCCTTCGTGAAACGAGAAAGGACCAAGCAGAAAAGCAGGAGGTGCCACACCCAGAACAGGCCCAGACGGCCGCCGGGGGACTCTCGCCATGTGCGTGGGTTTGACGTATTTTCTTTTGTTTCCTGGCCTGTATTTTTCATGTCCATGCATTCCTCACTCCGGGTGGGGGCTCCCTTCCCCATGCAGGCCCCAATCCTCCTCTGGCTGCAGAGGCCCAGCAGCGCCATGGGACTCAGGGGGCCCGCTGTCTACAATGAAGCCCCAATCCCAACGGCCTCCGGCCTGTGGAGCGCATGCGCACCATGCACACGGCAGGTGTCCTCTGCACACAGGCTGGGACACAGCGCTGAGCTCCCATCCCACGGAGCAGCCAACAGAGGGCCTTGGATTTGCCCTCCCTACAAATGGCTGGAGACTCGGCCCGAGATCCAGGACTCAGGAAAACGCAAGACCCCAAAATGAGCCAGAGAAGAACCCGGGCAGAGACTGCGAGAGGCCTCAAGGAAGCACAGACCCCAGGGCCAGGGATGGGGACGGGGAAGAGTGCAGGGACCCAACTCCCCAACACAACACGGACGGCCAGGGCCCCACAGATGGTCATGAAACCGCTGAGCAATGGCTGGGGAGCCCTGGGCTACGCAGTGGCCAGAATCCCTACTCGCAGTCTTCCCTGCCCGGACCGCCAGCTTGGGGACCTCAAATCACAAACAGGGACAGAGCACAGCAGCGTGACATCAAACGCCGGCCCGGCTTTGATGTGCGGCTCCTCCAGAGGGAGCGGCAGACAGACGGATCAGATTCCCTCGTGCGGGGTCTGAGGGAGCGGCTTGTGAACACGTTGTGTGGCGGCTGGCCGAGGGGAGGGGCTGCCGCAATCGGTTCCAGACCTTCCGCGCTGGCCCAGTGCTCTGGAGGACAGGGCCCAGGGGAAATTCCAGAGCCTGAGGAGACACTCCCTCCCCCACAAAGGCCTCTGCAAGTCCCAGTGTCTGCAGGGGCAAGACCCAGGGCCTCCTGGGGACCCCAGGCCAAGCCACCAGACACCGCGCTCCGAAGCCAGAAATGCAAGATGGGGTGCTGTGGTGAGGTTCTGAGGGTGCCTGCTCACAGTGGGGGGCTGGCACAGTCTCACCCACCCTCTGGCCGACAGAGCTCCTTACCCAGTCAGGGCCAGAAGCCAGGAGGGCAGACACGCCTCTGCGGTTGGCTTTGCGGGCATATTTTTTACGCACCACAAACCCTGCCCCCCAGAGCCCCACTTTGCCCGGGCGCAGCTGTCTGCTAGGGACGAGGCAGTGAGTCTGGAGCCTCGTATTCATGTCCAGTCTGGGGCTGACAAAGCTAGGTGCAAACACAGATGCTGAAGAGGGCCCAGGCAGCCGCACGCCAGGAACAGAACCAGCAGAGATGTGGCTGCAGCCAGGAGCCACTGGGCCTGGGGAGGTCCTCGGAGGGTGCCACCCACCACATGACAGCCCAGCCTAAGAGTGTCTCAGAGGAAGGCAGCCTCTGGCCTTCCGAACTCTACTGCCAGGTCTGGACAGGGATGGACAGGGACAGGGCCTAAGAGCTCTGAGCTGGCCAGGCTGCATGCACAGACCCCTGCTGAGTGTGGCCACGGGCGGGTGCTCCCTGGCAGGGCCATGTCCTCACCAGCAGCCCCTCCCTGCAGCCCAGCACACCCAGAGGGCTGCAGAAATCACCCAGCCTTTCCAGAGCCTCAGCTTTACCCACAGAGGGAGTAACCAGCCAAGATGTACTCAGCCAGACCCGAGCACTGAGTCATGGATGGGAGCAGAGGGCTGGCAGCCTGGGAGGAGATCTAGCCAGGGGGCTGGGCATACCTGGGGGCTACTCCCACCTGGGCACCTCTGAGAGAGGGCAAATCCCCTCCATGGCAGAGCTTGTGAAGCTGACATTTACAGAAAGTCCATACTGCTCCCTCACAGCCTTTGGACAGAAGTGGCTGAGCCGCCATGAGTTCCCACGGCTCACCCTCGGCATCATTCCAGGGCAGGGCTCAGTCACCCATAACAATCCCAGTTCTCTTCCCGCTCCTCAGTGCGGTCCGTCCACACCCCTGCCTTTCACCACTGCTCCCTGGCAACCAGGTCCCTACGGGACTCGGGATTCAACCTACGGGACTCACCTGCCTGCCCCTGCGGACCACCCAGATGTGCCAAGTGCCATCTCCCCACCTCCGAGTCTCAGCGCGACCTCCGGGGCTTATGCCGGCTGGCTCTAAACCCACTGAGTGAATAATGACCTGGACTCCAGCAAAGATGCTGGTCAGAAAGGTACTCCTTTTCCCTCTCTGGGCACCTCCAGGCGGGCTGTGCACTCCCAGGGCAGTGAAATTCTCATTTCCATCTCATGTGTCTCCTATCATGGAAGGTGCACTCCCATCATAAAGAACCCAAGCTCTGACACAGACACACCAGACAGGTGGAGAACAGTGTCCCCCAGGGCTCAGTGTGGCTGCTCACATCCCTCTCCTGGGCAGGACCTTCAGGCTACAGGGAAAATGGGGAAGCTGGGAGCCAGCAGCCCACAGCCTCCGTCTCCTGGCGCCCTCCCTGTAGCAGAGCCCAAGAAGTAGAGCAGAGGAGCAGCCTGTCCACAAGGAACTGGCCCAGACCGAGACGGTCCAAGTGCACAGTACACGAAGGTTTCAAGGACTCCGCACCAGCAAGAGCGTGAGATGGCTCACTTTTCCACTCACTACACGTCCAAGAAGTCATATTTTGGGTATACTGAGTTAATTAAACATATTACTAAAATTGATGACACCTGTTTTTATTTATTTTTTTAATGTGGTTACAAGAAAAAGTGAGTCATGTGGCTGGGCACAGTGGCTCACACCTGTCATCCCAGCACTTTGGGAGGCCAAGGCAGGTGGATTGCCTGAGATCAGGAGCTCGAGGCCAGCCGGACCAACATGGTGAAACCCCCGTCTCTACTAAAAAAAAAAATTAGCCCGGCGTGGTGGCACACAGCTATAATCCCAGCTACTCGGGAGGCTGAGGCAGGAAAACTGCTTGAACCCAGGAGGCGAAGGTTGCAGTGAGCCAAGATGGCACCACTTCACTCCTGCCTGGGCAACGGAAAAGAAAAAGTGAGTCACTCTGTGGCCAACACGTGTGGCTCACTGTTATCCCCTAGGCTACTGCTGCTCGAGACACTGTTCAGGCCTGGGCTTTGTGCCACGGTGACATCCATTCAGTGGAGCTGCAACATCTCAAATATGTGGTGGTCTCTATCCAAGGAAATCACTTCAGGTCCCCAAATACACAAAGCAGGCTCTGTCCCTGGGCAGGCTACAGGCCTGCAGTCCCCAGCCTCGGATCACCCCTTCCAAGCACGGCTCTCACATTGTCCCTGGCTCGAACTTCTTCCAAAACACACGAAGGGAGAAACACCAGCTTCCCGCCTATCCCACCCTGCTGACACCTGGAGTTCCGAGGCCACCACCCTGCCTTCCTAAGCCTCCCAGGCCAGTGAGGGGACACTAGGCATGAGGGAGCCTTCCTCTGTCACGCAGACCTACTGGGGACCAGCCTCCAGCACAGAGCCCACCAGGCACTCCAGCCTCACCATGGCACTAGCAACACCACCCACCACAAAACCTCATCCACATCCTGCTCCATGGCCAGCAAACTCCAGCCTCCAGGACAGAGCTTGGGTCTGAACTTTTAGAAATAAATAAGTAAACTTACTTATTTCTGAGACGGAGTCTCACTCTGTCGCCTAAGCTGGAGTGCAGTGGCGCGATCTCAGCTCACTGCAACCTCTGCTCCCTGGGTTCAAGCAATTCTCCTGCCTCAGCCTCCTAAGTAGCTGGGATTACAGGTGACCGCCACCATGCCTGGCTAATTTTTGTATTTTTAGTAGAGACAGGGTTTCGCCATATTGGTCAGGCTAGTCTCAAACTCCTGACCTCAGGGGATCTGCCTGCCTCGTCCTCCCAAAGTGTTGGGAACACAGGCTTGAGCTGCTGGCCCGGCCTAGAGATAAAATTTAAAGAAGCCCTACCTCTGGAATTTACCCTATGGGAGGAACGGGGATGGGAAACCAGGTGCAAAGGCCTCTGGATGCACGGTCTGTTCCAGCCCTGCCCAGGATGCCCCAAGACACAGGCAGATGCCCCATGACATCCACAGGACACCCACAAGACAGAAGGGCGAGGCTGTGAGTAGTGACAGTGCAGACTCTTCAGAAAGACATCCACAGCATATTCATCAGCACCCAGAGCCAGGCACCAGTTACTGTACCCCAGGCGTGAGTGTTCACCAAATGAGGTGTACATGCAGACACACCTGCACACAGACCCACACTACCACACGGCCCAGGGCCACAGGCTGGGGGCTTCACCACCGACAGCCCGTCACCTCCTGCTGTCACCAGTTCCTTGAAAGAGCTGCCCCACTTGCTCCTGTTTTTCTCTTTTTTTTTTTTTTTTTTTTTTGAGACAAAGTCTCACTCTGTCACTCTGGCTGGAGTGCAACAGCGCAATCTTGGCTCGCTGCAACCTCCGCCTCCAGGGTTTAAGCGTTTCTCCTGCCTCCTGAGTAGCTGAGACTATAGGCATGAGTCACCACACTGAGCTAATTTTTGTATTTTTAGTGGAGAAGGGTTTCCACCACGTTGGCCAGCCTAGTCTCGAACCCCTGAGCTCAGGTGATCAGCCTGTCTCGGCCTCCCAAAGTGCTAGGATTATAGGTGCTAGCCACCTCGCCCGGCCACTCATTTCTTTTTTTTTTTTTTTTTTTTTTTTTGAGATGGAGTTTTGCTCTTGTCGCCTTAACTGGACTCCAACGGCGAGATCTCAGCTCCCTGCATCCTCTACCTCCCAGGTTCAAGCGATTCTCCTGCCTCAGCCTCCCAAGTAGCTGGGATTACAGGCGTGTGGCACCATCCCCAACTAATTTTTGTATTTTTAGTAGAGACCGGATTTCACCACGATGGCCAAGCTGGTCACAAACTCCTGACCTCAGGCAATCCACCTGCCTCGGCCTCCCAAAGTGCTGGGATTATAGGGGTAAGACACTGTGCCCGGGCTCTTGTTTCTTTTTTTTTTTTTTTAAAGACAGAGTTTTGCTCTTGTCATCCGGCTGGACTCCAATGGCACAATCTCAGCTCACTGCAACCTCCACCTCCTGGGTTCAAGTGAATCTCACTCCTCAGCCTCCCGAGTAGCTGGGAATACAGGCACCATTAGGCTCGGTTAATTTTTGTATTTTTAGTAGAGACAGGGCTTCACCATGTTGGCCAGGCTGGTCTTGAACTCCTGACCTCAGATAATCCACCTGCCTTGCCCTCCCAAAGTGCTGGGATTACAGGCGTGAGCCACCGTGCCCAGCCACTCCTATTGTTTCTTAAACTAAGTTTTATACGAGGATTACAAAGTCTGTTGAAGAGACTTATGCTACCACAATGGCCATCCCACCACCCAGACACCCTGGGCCCCTCCCCAGTGGCAGCCTGGGGCCACTGTGGGCCATTTCCTCACCTCCATCCTGATCTGAAGACAGACAGCACAGCCATGGAGAATGGCCATCACCAAGCACCTGCACCCATGGGAGTGATGGATTCTGCTTACCGCCTGGGGCACCGGCCGGCCCAGGGCATTTCCTTCAGGACTTTCATCTTTCCTAACTTTTACTCCCTTCATTGTTTGGTTTTCTTCTTGCCCTCTGCCACTCTTCTCTCAGGAAGCAGCAGAGCTGGGTGCCGAGATCCCCACTCCTCACCGAATGCCTACCCAGCACCTGGGGCCGCCCGCCTCCCTGCCTGGCACCATTCCTGCCTCGGGTCCTGCTCACTCCTGCCTGTGGCTTTGTCTTTTCTCACCGGTTCTGTCACTTGTTTTAGTTGCATTTTAGGAGAACGAATTCCGTGCCCATACTTAACCCACTGTCTTCCCCAGAAGACTCCATTCACCCCAACACCTGCTGAGGTGGCTTCCACCCCCAGGACCCCTGACCTCGGTGCCCTCCTCTGTGAATGCAACACCTGGGCTGTGCAGGCAGCTCCACCGTCAGATGGGAGCAGGCCCAGACCCAGGGCCACTGAGACTGCCCGACACGCAGTCACCTTCCCATAGGCCCTGCACTCAGTCCTCAAGACAGGAATGTACCCCATCCACACACCACCCAGGCACAGGTGGGGAAACCAAGGCCCAGAGAGAGCGAGAACTCCCCAGCAAGCCCCAGCCCTGAGTCCCTTCTGTTCTGCTGGCCGAGCCTTTCACAGCATACAAAGATTTCCAGCCCACAATGAAAAGACCCAAATTTATAAAGCACCCATTTTTACACATTCAGAAACAAAGTTTCAACCATTAACGGACAGATTACTTTTTTTTTGAGAGAGGGTCTTGTTCTGTTGCCCAGGCTGGAGTGCGATCAGGACTCATTGCAACCTCCACCTCCCAGGCTAAGACCTTCTCACCTCAGCCTCCTGGGTAGCTGGGCCCGCAGGCATGCACCACCATGCCTGGCCTAATGTTTCTATTTTTCATAGAGACGGGGTTTCACTATGTTGCTGAGGCTAGTCTCAAACTCATGAGCTCAAGCGACCCGCCACCCTTGGCCTCCCGAAGTGCTAGGATTACAGGCATCAACCACTGTTCCTGGCCAGCCAATTAGTGTTTCTAAGAGAGTTTTCTAGTGGGGCACAGGGCTCATCCCTGTAATCCCAACACTTTAGGAGGCCAAGATGGGAGGACTGCTAGAGCCCATGGGTTCAAGAGCAGCCTGGGCAACCAACATAGTGAGTCCCTTCCTCTTAAAAAAAAAGAGACTTGCCAGGCGTGGTGGCTCAAGCCTGTAATCCCAGCACTTTGGGAGGCCGATGCAGGTGGATCACAAGGTCAAGAGATCGAGACCATCCTGGTCAACATGGTGAAACCCCATCTCTACTAAAAATACAAAAAATTAGCTGGGCATGGTGGTGTGTGCCTGTAATCCCAGCTACTCAGGAGGCAGGAGAATTGCCTGAACCCAGGAGGCGGAGGTTTTGGTGAGCCGAGATCGAGCCATTGCACTCCAGCCTGGGTAACAAAACCGAAACTCCGTCTCAAAAAAAAAAAAAAGAGAGAGAGACTTTCTGATCCCATCCAGGGGAAGCAAGCATGGGAGCCCTGCCCCCAGCACCAAAGGTCTCCCCTTACGCTCGCCAGGCCCCCACAAGGACAGAAGCACATCGCTGCTCTTCTGGGAGGGCAGGGCAGGGCCCTGGACCCAGGAAGCTCAGAACAATGAGCTATGACCAACCATCCCTGAGGCTACCACTCCTGAACTGGCAGCCCACACAACCCTCCTCTCCCAAGGACTGCAAAGCCCAAGAGGCACCATGGTCCAGTACAGAGACTGGGTGTGCAGCTCTGGACCAGACCCAGTGACCCCCGCAGCTTCCCCCATCCACCTGCTGATGCTCACCTGGTCTGTGCAAAATGGCTGAGAAGCTCCCAGAGGGTCTGGCCTGAACAGAAGGTGTCCTGCAACCTGGAGCCATCATCCAGCTGCAAAGCAATGCGAACCTGGAGGGTACAGGACACGAGAAACATCCTTAGGAAGAAAAGCAATGGTTCCGTCTGCACCCCAGACTGGCTCTCCGGATAGAGAGGGCGAAAGCTCCTGCCCAGGCCTCTGGGGAGAGATTGACCCCCACAGAGAAGTGCTACCCTCCTTTGTACTCTGGAGTGAGGGCCATGGAGGCTTCCCCAACAAGGCTGCATCAGCATGTAAGTGTGCATGTGTGCGGTGTATGTGCATGTGTGTGCATGT